CAGGTACTTTCGTATATTTAATCTTCGTAACAAACCATTTGAAGACATTAAGTTGTATGAGATCACATGATTGGTAGGTAGTCAGTTTCAGGGCACTTTGAAGCCAAAGCCTCATGCATTTTACAAGACTGCTCTTCTCTCCTACAGGATTATATTGTAATTTAGCATAGTTCATACAGAAGTTTACTGTGATATTTAGGTAATGTATTCCAGGGACTTATTCTGAAGCACGATAATCCTTTTCACTAATATAACTAGTAGTACCGGATGTGCATCTATGATCTTGCTAAGTGGTCTTACTATTAAACAGAAACTTGAAAGAAATTTCTAAAATGTATTCCTGACAGCAGGCAAAGTCTGTTGCTTAGGACATGTTTTTGTTTGTTTTGAAATGTTTTATGAAAGGCCAGGCTTCTCACACACCCTTCAAATCCCTTAGCTGACAAAGATTGATCTTAAATGGCTCCCTGGAGATTAAAATCATTCTATAAATGTGAGCTAAAGAGGAATCATATCTGCCCACAAATTAAAATGTCCTTTGTAAAAGTCAATTTAGGGAACTTGCAAATCTTAGAAGCTGTTAAAAGAAAACCATCATGAAGATCTTGAAATAGTTATACCTGATTTTCTCTGGTTTATTACTTGAGAAAGTTTTGGTGCTAAGTGCTACTCTTTGTATAATTTTCCCACCCATCTAAGGTGCGTAGGTTAAAGGGAAAAAAAACAACAACCCAGCATGTGTTCTGCTTATGTTCTTTTGCAGGAAGCCAGAAAAGGGTATAACTGTTGTGACTTCCAGGCCTGCTGAGCTATTTGTAAACATGCATCAATAGCAACTCATTTTAAGCAACAAGCTGAACCTTCCCTGGAGTAAACTACACTGTGAGCTTTCCCAATGAAATGCCGTTCCCCAATTAAGGTATGAATTTAAAATATGCAAAGATGAACTCAGAATTACTGTATCTCAGATATTCTGAAGATTTTCTTTCAGGTGTTCAGGCAGTTGGGTTTATTTTAAACTACCGCCCAAGACAGGTTTTCTCATAATGCCTTTTAAAGCGGATTTTTATACTCCCACTTAAAAAAAGGAGCTACATATAAAGCACTCTTAAAAAGAATCTCTTGTCAACTGAAAATAATAATATTCACCTGTTATTAGCATACGGCGCACTGCCATTTCAAAACTGCCAGTGACTCATGTTACAAATGGAGCTATATTTAGGGCAGTGCAGGAATGATGTTAACAATATTCCTTGAAAAGGCACTGGTTACTTGATCAAATATTTTGTGGATGGAAAAATGGATAAATGCACTTGTTACATCCCAACCAAAAATTACTCTCAGTAAAATTTTTTTCATTTGGCCATCTGCACGTCCTTGCTTTGTGCTCAGTCAATAAATCACACAAACATCATTTAACAAAAAAGCAATCTGCTTTATATGAAATAACTACATATTTGTAAATCTTAAAGAATAAATGTAACATCACCCCAGAGGTTATACAGCACATTTGATGTCAAGTTCAAGGCAGCAGACTGTATACACTTGAGTAATCCTATTTGCACGAAGGATTCTCCTGGAATTGCTAGAGCTGTGAAACCCTAACAAATATATTCTTTTAAAAAGTTATCACAACTAAATGTGACTAAGCAAAAGTCTCAAACATTAGTATCACTTAAAAAAATAAGACTGAACATGAATTCAAAGGATTTATTAGAAGCCGAAATGAGCAGTGGGGAAAACTATCCTGAGAAAGAAATTCTATGGCCAGCAGCCATGTAAGTACTATGGATTCTAAACTTCCTAACAAGCATACTCTTATTTTTTTGTTTGTTTGTTTGTTTCCACTGCAAATGGCAGTCAATTAGCCATTTTCTCCTGTGTCTCTTTTGGAAAACTTAAATCTTCAGATAAATGCTTCAACTGCCCCCCCCCGCACCCCCCCCCCCCCGCCCCCGGCCCCATACACTGAATTGGGACACCAGAGAAAAGCATTCCGGCTGACTGACACCCGGATTACTGGTTCATACTAGAAGTGCTGACGCAACCTTCAATACACCAGGACACAAAGGCATGGTTCTGCTTTGGCTTAGAACCATAAAGCAGGTTAGAAGCAGCAAAAGATGCATATGTGGTACCAACATTAAAATGCAGCTTTAAAAATAATGGCTATGGGGAAAGTTTCTGTAGGAACTGGGCCTAAGTAGGACAGATTGTCGGCAGCGTCAGTAGAAACATTCCTGAAATTTCCCTTCTGTAAATACAAGCTGGCCTCTTCTGGGCAGTTTAATTCTAATTAAGACAAAGGTTTTTAATTAAGCCCTGAAAATCCTGGTGAATGGCCTTCTGTAAAACTGTCCTTGCTGGTCCCTCCCGAGATAATTCATTTTGAGAGACAATGAAGTGGATCTCTTAAAATCTTCAGAGAATACATTTCTCTCCCTGCTTTCTGCTACTACACACAGCAAACAGACTGAGAAAAGCTGCTGGCCCTTTGGAACAGGCAAGAAAAGCACTGCTCAGTTTTCAATTCAAACTGACCCCTTCTTTTCAAAACACTGGTGGATAGATGCTTCAAGCCCACAGAACACTGGAAGAAAACTGATTTTGTAAAGTGGGGAGTGTGAGCAATTTCCCTTATTATTCCCCCCCCAAGTTGCACGCCCCCCCCCACCACCTTGGGGAAACAAAAATAAACTGCTACTAAATAAAGCCAACAACTTGTTCCAGATAGCCTCAAAAATACCATTTCTAGTCCCCACTCCACCCCCATTTGCTTATGAAGTATACTTTTTCTAGGATATAAACTATTCTGGAAGCAAAATACAACTAAAGCTGATTTTCAAGAACCCACATAGAAGTCAATGCTGGGGTGTGAATTTCAGCAAGAGGGCAGAATAACGGGGTCGAAGGAAAATATCAGAAATTGGACCTGCCTCTGACTTGTACCTTGCCCAGTCCCATTATTAACACTTTCGCATTAAGCTCGTGTGTCTCCCTACTTCCTGGCCTAGAGAGGGGAAAGAAAAGCGGAGATAAATGGGTATGGAGGCAATTAAGGAGAGATTAGCAAGCACTGCATACTGCTCAACAAACCCGAGCTGGCTTCTCCCCATACCCCACATTCCTGGCCAAGAGAAAAGGATCCTGGCCTGAAAAGAAAATGGGAGCTGAAGCTGGTTTCGCTAACCTAGCTGAAAAGTCTTTATGCAATCAGGGGCTATTATTTCAGGAGACAGTGGGAAAGGGGCAAAAGACTCACGTTGCTAAGGAGACACACTGAAGCTGGCATTCCTACATAAATTTCCATTTCTATTGGAGAGGGGAGAGAAAAGATATTTTCCCCAAAGTTTATTTGGATCCCCTGGTTACTGAAGAAAGGCATTTTACCGAATTTATTTCATCTTTAGTTGTAAACAACCAACCCTGAAAGAATTAAAAGACCTAAATGTTGACCCCCTGCTGCCAGCCAGTCCCCTCCACAGTGAATTAAGCAACAAAGCCCAAACCCTTCAATGGGAATTTTGAGGAAATATCAAAGAAAAAGCCTTTTGTAAACGGAAAAATCAAATTTATGGAAGAAATTTAACCAAGTGAACTAATCTCTCTTATACCAAGAAACCAAAGACAAAAGTCAATCAGATTCTTGTGGATTTTGTGCTATTTCAACTTTCTTGGAACTGGAAACGTTCCCAGTAAAGCTTTATATATAGTCCCAAGGCCATGAAACTGCACGACGGAATTTAATGAGTTTCTCAGGGGTGTGTGTTAAGCGTTTAAAATCACGGGCAGGTCCCCTCTCCCTTTATTCCCCTTTCTCTGTACTGACAGCAGCTGAAGAATCAATATTAGCAAAGGAAAGGGTTAGCAGCAGGAAATCGGAAGTTGGCATTTCTGCTACGGGCATGACTGGGGCGCAGGAGAAGGCAACTGGGGGGGTCAAGGAGAGAGTAAGGCAGCGAAGCCCCCACGGGGATGGTAGCCCCAGGGACTAGACTACCTTCCTTTTCACCCTCCATCCTATTCATTTGCGGCTTTCAGTGCCGGCTGAAAAAGGTAGGAAGTTCCAGGCTTCTGTGAGTAGTTCATGAAGAGAAAGAAAGGTTTAAAGGGGGAGAGAAGGTACCTGGGCTGGGGGCAACTCACCATCAACGACGGTGTATCCTCAAAAAGAGAAGGAAATTAAGCCTGCCCCTCTCTCAACTCTCCGTATCCCTCAAAAATGTAAGGAAATAAAGTCCGAACCTAAACTCCTTGCAGGGAAAACCCGGTAAAGTGGAGTCGAAGGAGCAGGAACACGGGCACTAAGAGGTAAACTCGGGCGGATTCCCGGGAAGAGAGGAGGGAGAAGAGGGCGCGGAAGACCGAGAGAGAGCCCATGGCATCCTGGTGGAGTTGGGGCGTTTTTGCTTTCTCTTTTAAAGGGGGTGGGGAAGCCGTTGCATTTTTAACACAGCCACATGGTTCTCGCCTTAAATGATAACAATTACCCAAAAGAGCATCCTTGTTACTCTAGAGCCCGAGGAAACGCCACGGGAGGAGAGCGAGCGCGGGACGTCGCATTGGGTTTGGTTCGCGACTAGGACCAGGGAGAGGGGAGGGGTGGCCACCAGAGAGGCGGCTGGGGCGCGAGGATCCGCGAAGGGACGGGAAGGAGCCGGGCAGACAAGGGTAGGGGACCCAGAAGGTGCGGGGGAGCGGCGGTGGCGGTCCCGGCAGTGGGGCGCGGGGCGGGCCGGGGCGGGAGGCGGGGGTCGCGGCGCGCCAGGCCCTCACCGCTGCTGAGCGTGGACTCGCAGTGCCAGATGTCCCAGCTGGCGGGTTTCCGGCAGGACTCCCACAGGGACAGGTAGTACTGGTGGTCGGCCGTGACCCAAGCCGGGCTCAGCACGGCCCCCAGATCCAGACACAGCGCCAGGAAGATGCACACCAGCCCGACCAGCTTCAGCGGGGTCAGCACCGACACGCGCACCTCCTCCATGCCGCTGCCCGCCGAAGCCATGCCCCGGGCGCCGCAATCGGCCGGCCCGCGGGAGTCGAGGACGCCAGGCAGGTCCGGAGAGCTGGGAGCCCGACCTCCCTCGAAGGGAAGCAGCCGCGCCGCCGCACGCGGGGCTCGCTCCCTCGGGGCTCCGCGCCTCCCGCCGCCGCGAAACTGGTCTGCGGAGGTGGCCGGCCGGGGCGAGGTCGTCGGTAGCCGCAGCGACGCTGATCCCACCGCGGACCTTCGCCAACAATCCCGCGCTGCTATCTGCCCGCGCCGGCGCCCGCTCCGCCCCGGCGCAGCCCGGCTCGCTCCGCCCCGGCCCCTCCCCGGGCAGCGGGAGGCAGTGCCGAACGGGGCGGGGCGGCGGTCCGCACCCGGGCGGCGTCAGGCTTCGGCTCCCGACTCCAGGCGCAAGAAGCTAGCGCCCGCTCCGCCCCGCCCCACCCCACCCCGCCCCTGGCCGGTGCGCGCCTCACGGATCCCTACTCTCTGCCCCTCGCGCGCGGAGCGCGCAAAGAGAGTCCTCTTCCCTGGTGCTCCGCTTGCGCGAGGAACCCCGTGCGAGCCCCCTAACCCCAACCGGCTGCGTGGGGCAATTCCTGGAAACTGCCGGGCCCCCGACCCCACCCCTGACCGCGCCGGCTCCGGGGTCCCCTCGCTTCCCGCCCCCACCCCCAGCCATCACGTGGGTTTCCTTTTCTTAGCAAGCTAGAGTGGGTCCTTGTCTAGAAGGTGTCAACTGTGGATTCCTAGGTTTCCTGTAGCCATTGGAGTAAGAAGTGATGTATCACCACCCCGCACTACAGCCCCGTCAGTTTCTTATGCTGGGGGATTTAGAGGAAGAAGACGTGACAACTGGTACTTCGCCCTCTCTTTTCAAACCCAGGACGGACCCAGTCTCGGACCCAGGAATCTGTTAGTTTTCCCTATTTCCTAACTTTCCCTCTAAAACTGCTGTCGCTTCTATTCTCTGGACTCGCCTCCTTTCACTCCCCCTATGAAAGGCGATTGCTCAGGAAATGCAGGCGTTAACATGGGATTGAAAGCTCCTGCAAAACGTGAAGTAAGCCTTAATTGCTGCCCCGCTCCCCTCTTTTATTGGGTGTTGACTGAAACCGTTACTCTTTTGCTTTGCCTTATGCCAGGTTGGATCTGAATTCATATTTGGGCATCAACCTGTTCTTGTGCCCCGCAAGACATAGCCCAGGGCCTGGCATAGGAAAAGTGGCATATCTTTAATAAACCTACACAAATGTATTGAACACCTACTGTGCGCTCCAGGCTAAGGATTCAGCCAGATATGACCTTGCTCCTGTTCTTAAGGAGATGTTCCATTTTTTAATCTGTACCTGAGAAATAAGCACCCCTTGAAATTGAATCTGCAATTCTGTAATTAACTAGGTCAGCTTGTGATTGGTAGGTCATCTGGAAAATTTGATGAGAAACTCAAAATGGTGGTTAAGATCTGAAGAATGGAAAAAAATGCCTTCTCTCTTTTAATGAAATCACGGTGTTCACACTGCAGGATTTCATAGATTTGTTAATAACCATTTCTTCTGTCCACATCTTTCCTTGGGGCTGACTACATTTTGACCTAAGCAACATTTTTTTCAATCCTTACCAGAGGATATGTTTATTGATTTTAGAGAGAAAGGAAGGAAGAGAGAGAGAGACAGATAGACACGTGAGAGAGAAACATCTATTCCAGGCCTCCTGGACTGCCCTCAGGAGGAATCAAACTGGCAACTTAGGTACGTACCCTGACTGGGAATCAAACACACGACCTTTTGGTGTAGGGGATCCCGTTCCAACCAACCAAGCCACCTGGCCAGGACCCCAAGCAACATTTTGAACATAAGAAACAATCAGTGTCAAATGACTTGAGAAAAAAAACCAACCCCATGTGAAATTAAAACCCCTAGTTTTCTTATATTTGGAAATTAGGGAACTGGTAACTTTCCCCTCAATTACAAAATTTATTGCCATTAATAAAGAATACCTAGAGCCCTCAGCTCCATAACCTCTAAATTCTAACAGGCTTTTTGGCCTCCCAAGCTCCCAAGGAGGCAGAAGCCTAAGTGCTTCTCCTTGAAAATGGTTCCTAATGGGACGCTGAAAAATTAAAAACCAGAATGATTAATAGGGATAACCAGGCTCGTGATAGTTTTCTATTACATAGTTTCATGTTTGTGGGCTTGTAATGTACTTTTGAAAATAATGTTTAAGAAAATTTCTTGACCATGTCCTCAAAGTTGTAAAGAAATATTTTTTCTTCAAGTTCTATCACCTGCCCTTTAGTAAGTTCCATTTCTAGTCAGCTGATGTTTTTTCTTTATCTTTGATCCTTCTAAATTGGGCTCTCTTCCTCCACCACCCCTACTCTTGCTGCCCTCACGCTCCTTTTGCTTCATTTTTCTGGCTTATTGTCAACTGCTTACTGGAGTGACTCCATCGTTCTTCATACTACCTACAAACTTGTCTCTGCACTGTCTCCAAAATTAGAAAAATAAGCCATTTTAATGACAAAAAGCCAAATTCTCCTAAAATGCTCCATTCCTCTGTTAATCATTTCTGTAATTTGTTCTACATAATACAGATCAACCATCCTTAATACTGACTTTCAAAAAATGAAAAGCTCTGAAGACAAAGGTTTTGGGGTGGGTTTTTTTTTTCCCTTTAAGTTTGTTGAAAATTCATTTGGTGAAAAACCTAATTTCAAGTTGATCTGAAGCTATTTAGTTTTGATTTAGCCCACTTAGTGTAAATGAATATGCAGCCACATCCCCTGTTGGATGTTGACTAGCTTACAGTATGTGCAACACAGTATCCTTCAAAAACGGCTGAATTTGTTAATACAGTTAGCCTCAAAGATTTCAGATAAGAGAGGATGAACCTGCATTTACCCTAAAGATGGAAAAAGTGGAGTGGGGGATTTCAGCAATTAGTAAACATGGAATGAACCCTACCAAAAAAAAAAAAAAGAAGAAGAAGAAGAAGAAGAAGTTATCTGGCCGGAAGTGGTATCAGAGGTGTCACAATGGTCACCCTTATCCCTGGACCTCAGGGCGGTGAAGTGTAGGGGCCCTAACTCTCTCTCTTGCAGTGTAAGAACTCCATGAAAATTGAGAATTGGAGTCACAGAACTCTGGCGTGTGACTCTGAGTCGTGTAGCCAAGGAATGGCAGGAACAACGCATTCCCTAGACCTTGAAGTGAAGGAAGAGATCAGCCCCATGCTTGAATCAGTCAGGCCAGCAAAATGGCCCCGCAGTGTGAGGCATGAGGTTGGATGGAAGAGATTGGGAAATTCATCAGAAAAGTACAAATGTGTTGTGGTGGGAGGTAGAAGGTGTGGAGGAGATGGGGAAGGGGAGCATGTTCCAGGATTTTCAAGTTCCCTAGATTGACTTTTACAAAGGCCATTTTAATTGGTGAGCAGATATAATTTCTCTTATATTGAACATCTCCTAAGAAAATAAAGAGGAGTAAATGTCATGCTGTCTGCTCACAGTCTGTCAGCAAGCGCACCGTCTCTACATTTGCTTAGCAGCTGAAATATACAATTACTAAATGTACAACTTCAGTGGTTTGGGATAAACCAGAGGGGACTTACTCCGTTAGGGACTACGCAGGAATCATCGACTGTTTTCAGGAATGAGCCCAGCAAATCTCACACATGGTTCAAGTCACCAGTCTTGTCATTGTCACAACAGCCCCTTCTACCCCTTCTTTGGTAGGCAGTGGGGAGGTGTCCTCCAGTTATTCTGAATTTAGGTCACCATCCGTATAGAGTAGGCTCCATCCATCAGGGAGAAGCCATTTGCTCTACTCTTTGAGTCCTGCTCCTCTCCCCAGATCCTAGAAAGGTCTTCCTACACTGTGGACTTTCAACACTGGGATGGCATTTACACGTGCATTGGTTAGACCTGTTTGCTCTCAGAAAGGAAGAAATAGAATGGAGGGGAAACTGATGCAGCAATCATTACAAGATTAGAAATAGCCACCAATTTGTGTATTCAATGTAACAGATAATGTTGACAAAATACATTAGAAATTAGAAACAAAGAATACTTCAGTGATATACTCTGTACTATATTCCATTCTTGAGGTCCATGCTAGAAGGATTCTGATGGGAGTGAAACCATTATATAATGGGACCTGTATTCTGCTTGTGATAATTAATCATGTCCAAGGGAGTTCCAGGTTATGGTATGTTCTGTATTGCATTATTGAGATTTCTTGTTGCGTTGTTCTTGGCTTAGAGTTATCACAAATAATTGTGACTAATAATTGCTATTTCTTCTTTAAAAAAATAAAAACATTGACAAAAACGAATAATTCCTCCTTCAGAAAACTAAATCCCATCATTTTCTAATGTCTTTTCCAATTGAAAATGTATAATGTTATTGAATCAGTTCGATTTAAGTCAGTAACGGCACACTCACATTATGGGTTGATGTTTTGATTTCAAGTTAATTGTTTCACAGTAGAAGCTATGACCGTAATAATTTACCCACAAAGAAAGGAAATAAATCATGGAAGTGAAAACACAAGAGGCCACTGGAGTTGAAGGATGATTAGTTTTAAATAAATATGTTTATTGTAATGAAAGAAGTGTGAATTGGATGCCCAGGAGGTAGGAATACAGGGAAAATTATAATATTTCCAGTGGCACTAAATCTCAATGTTTTCAAGCTCTATTTCCTTAATAACAATCACTTATAGACACAGATCCTCCTTCATATTTTTAGTTTATTTGTTGTAGTCAGTTACAACTTCATGGAGAAATGACCAGGTGTAAGCACTTCAAGCACCACCTCATGACTGCATTTTAAGACTTTTTGTCTCCTTGTTGCTACAACTATAAGTTGAAGCTTTTGGTTACTCTGAAGCAAGTGCTCACCTACCAACATACTGTCATCTTGGTAGCATTTCAAGTATCCTTGGCCACCATCAGCATGACACATCCTGTCTCCATCTCTCCCGGTGTGCACTGCGGCGGAGGACAATTAAAATGGAGCACCGGAAGCCTGAGAAATGGTTACCCTGAATAGCTGGATACTTTGGTGGGATGAGCAGGTTTAGCATATGCTTGGTAGAGCTTGAAGGGGCCTAGTGATGCATCATGACTTAGCTGTTGACTGCGACGCAAGCCAAGGGAAGTTAGAACAGAGATGGCATCATCATCACCAGGAATCACTGTTGGGCAATTGTTCACGCTTTCCACTGCTCTCTTGGCGTTCAGTAGCTAAAACCTCCTTTGTGACTTTAGATTTTACCCTGGAGCCATCTTTGTGCACTTCTTGGTGACTTTTCAAAGAGACCTTTTGCTCTTGGACATGTGAATGAAAATACTTGTGACTTGGTAGAAAAATTCGAAGAAATGCCTGCCTAGAACACGCCTTCTTCCCAAATTAGACAGCAACAGGGTCAGTTTCACATCTCAAAAACAGTTTCATCCATGAGGATTGGCACTGTTGTTTTCTCTCCCAGGTGTTCACTTTTTTGTAATATACACAGTCTCAAAGTTGTGGCTGGAAGCCCTTCCCAAGTGTTCTCCTGATAGTGACTATGTTTGTAGTATAAGAAAGTTCCCTTTTGTTAGAAAGTGTGGGTCCCTCCTCTCCTTTGTGGCCTGAAGGATTCACATTATTAATGGGAAAAGAAGTGAACCCCCAATGTATACATCTCTAGTAGAGTGATGGCTCAAAGT